TGATGCATTGTCCTGGCCACCAAAAGGGTGGGTCTGACATGGCAAAGGGCAACAGGGCAGCCGATCGGGTGGCTAAGGTCGCTGCCCGTTCTGCCCATTCTGCCCTCCAGGGTGCACTCATCCCTCTTGTGGACCTGACTCAGTATGCTCCTGAATACACCGAGCGGGATGAGGAGAGAGCTCGTGCATGGGGATTTACTGAGTTTGATCCCAGCTCTACTTGGAGAGTAAACTCTCATGGGATGATACTCCTCCCGGAGGCCCTGGTATATCCGGTGCTAAAACATCTTCACGAGGGATCTCACTATGGGAGAGATGCCTTATTAGAAACAGTGCGCCCATATTTGAAGGGCCCGTATTTACACAAAATAGCACAACGGATCACCAGAGGTTGTGAATTATGTGCCAGGAACAACCCCAAGACTGACTCCCACCCTAAAGCCATTGGGGTTCAATATCGGGGCAAGTGTCCTTTTGAGGACTGGCAGGTGGACTTCACACAAATGCCTAGAACAACAGGCAATTTCAAATATCTCTTGGTTTTTGTCGACACGTTTTCGGGATGGGTGGAAGCATTTCCCACAAAGACGGAAAAAGCTTCCGAGGTTGCCAAACAGCTACTGAAAGAGATAATCCCTCGCTTTGGGTTGCCGGACTCTATCCAGAGTGATAATGGGCTGGCATTTGTCTCTGACGTCACCCATGCAGTGAGCAGTGCGTTACAGATAAACTGGAAATTGCATGCTGCATGGAGACCGCAGTCTTCCGGGCAAACAGAAAAGATGAACCACACCTTGAAGAAAACCTTGGCAAAACTGTGCCAAGAAACACAACTTCGTTGGGACCAGGTACTATCCCTTGCCCTCCTCCGCATAAGAGTGGCACCTAGAAGTGGGCTACAATTAAGCCCCTTTGAGATTGTGTTTGGAAGACCTTTTCAGGCCTCAGTTCTGAAAGCCAGTCCGGAAATAACACAAGATTGCCGGATCACGCAATATGTGAAACACATCCAGGAGGTTCTGGCAGTGATTCATAATTTTGCAACCTCAAGGATCTCTATGCCTCCTGATCAACCATTGCATCCCTTCAAACCTGGAGATCAGGTCTTACTGAAGACTTGGCAGAGCGGGGATGCTCAAAACCAGCTGTCAGAAAAATGGACTGGTCCCTATGATGTCTTGTTGAGCACACATACTTCTCTGAAACTTGCAGGCATAAAACCCTGGGTACATCATTCCAGAGTTAAGAAAGCCCCAGGAGGAACTGACCCAGAGACGAAGTCCCATTGGTCTTGTGAACCCATTGAGGACTTGAGATATTTGTTTAAGAAACAGACAAAAACTTGAATGTTACTGACTTCTTTTCCAGTTATTGTTGCAGGATACCCAAGGACTCATTTTTTTTTCCTGAAGAAACCCTGAGAAAACTAACATGCTCTAACCGATCTTCTTCTTTTCAAAGTTTAGGAGACGTGAAATAACATCTAGGATCATGCATATGGTGCCACTATTTTTTTTTACACAGAAAGGTTTTCAATCTTGATTTTGATTTTGTTATTTTTTTTAACTTTCTGCTTTTTTTTACCTTTGAGATTTTTTTCTCTGCTTTCTTTTTGTTACTTTGGCCAATGAGTGAAACTGCAGTTGCATGAGATATCCCACGCGTGATAAATGGTAACTAATGAGCTCTTTGTGTCTATATGTTGTATGTCTGTATGTCCTTTCCTTGTGTCCTTGTTTTGACCTCAAGTGATTGACAAATTGGTATACATGGTGCCCATAGACGTTGAAAAAAAAAAAGAGAGTCTCCAGTTATGAGAAAAACTAAAGGTTATGGTTTGATTGTCAACATTGTGCTACTGAACTAAGCCGGTGCCTTCATAGAGATTGAACATTGTTGTTTCTGTTATTTTTCTGATATTTATGGCAAAGCTTCCCAGAAATCTAAATTCAAGTACAAATTTGGTAGCCTGTCATTTGGCTGATGCAAGGAAATTTTGTGGAACCTCAGTAGAGCTCCTGAGACACTCCACAAAGTTTCTCCCTTTCCTCCTGGGAAAGGCATTAGATGAATTTGTTCTATTTGGATTTTACCTAATGAAGTAAAACTGGAAGGGAAGCATTGTCACTTGGGAAAATGGTAAAACTTTGGTATGTACAAAATGTTAACAGTAGTATCTGGTATGTATGTAAATTGTCAATGGTGATTGTCACCTTATAATATTATAATTCAATTGTTTCACATCTACAGAAATTGTTTCTGAAAATATAGGGAGAAAAGGTCTCAACAGATTCCTATTGATGGAACTGTTGAGTAAAACTTTTCTACTAAGGACTGAATAGACTTGGAAATACACCTCATATTTACTAAGTTTTCCTTGACATAATAATACTGATGATTTTTTTGCATTTTGCTCTAAATCCACAAAGTTTTCTTGTTTTGGTGACCAGGATCTGCAGCAAGGTTGTAATTTTTTTTTCCAACAAAGCTAACTTGTGTTTGCATTTTCTCTCCCCTTGATACCAACACGGCATAAAAATAGTGGTAGTAATCTTTTACTACTTATCTCAGAGTCTGTTTTTGCATAACTTCCATAGGGATTTTGTTTAAACTGAAAAAAATTGGACATAAGTTTCATTGTGTGGCTTTGTGTGGAGCTCTTCCAGAAAGTTGAAACAGAGCTGAACCAAGAAGAGGAGAACCTGTTTGCCTTGTTTGTAGGGTTCCAGAGACCTCCAAAGAAGGTGAGGAAGCTTGCCTCCATTGGCAGGACTGGACAACCCGGCCAACGAAAAGTCCCTGGTACCCTCGAGAAGAGGAAAGCCCAGGTGGAGTCTGATGAGACCAACTTCTTTCAGAAGCCTACACGGACCGGATGTCAACAGTTCGCTCTGAATCCTATATGGAGTATTCCAACGGAGCCAGCTAAAAATTGCTGCTTAGTTATTCTGCCCTGTGATTTTATGCAAAAATAGGCAATATGGTTTAAAAGTAGATTTGGTTTGCAAACTTTTGCTATGCTGTTTAAAAAAATTTGGGATCAAGGTTGAGAGAATTTGTCTTTACATAAGTTGAACCATTTTAAGATTTTTTTTCCTGTGATTTTTGACATATCTGCTGTCTTGTTCTGGCTAATGCCTCCAGATGTTTTCTTTTGGCTGGGACTGATGAACTGTTTTTCCAGGAATGGAGGACTTTTGCTTTCCACAATGGACACTACCTGGAGGGATTCGTTTTCTTTCAGACTGGAACCCTGGAAAATTTTCATCTGAGACTGTATCCCAGAATCCATATGTTTGATCTTCATCACCATGGAAATGGTGGCAAAAAGTGAAAGGGGGGAATTGTTAGGGGGAAAGGATGTCCTGAGATAATCTCATACAGGCTTTGTGGACTCCACCCCCACTCCAGACTAAAGCCATCAGGACATTGGGAAAGACAAATCCCATCACCACCAAGGGGAGGGTGGCTGGGACCTGAGGGTGGAGTTGGGCAGCCAGGTTGGATATAAAAACCAAACACGTGGGCCTTGCTCTCTCTCTGGCTCGCGATCGCTCGCCTCCTGGCTTCACCGCTCCTGGCTGGCGGCCAGCTCTCAGAGCGCCATTTTGGGATTCCTGATCGGCGGATCGGGTAGGACTCATTTAAAACTTTGTCTCCCACTTTTCTCCCAGAGCTGTACATTTCCTCATTTCCCTTTCCCTTGTAAATAAACCTTTTATTAACCTTTCACGTGTGCCTGCAGTAGAGCATTGATAAGTCCTTTTAAGCGCGCGGGTGAGGACCCACAGTCAGGCACCCCGTTTTGTATCGGGGTTGCTCTACAACAGTTTCTAAAGCCATGTGGGCAAGTTACTGGGTTGTGATGGGTCTCTCCCATATGTATATATGAAGTATACATGTTACTGTTAAATTTTTAATTTTTTTCCTTTTACAATCTGTCTGATATTTTCCAGCTTAGGAGATCCCAGAGGAAAATGCACCCCAACTTTTGCTTCTTTCACTCAGTATGTTTTTGAGGTTCAGTCATGCTGTAGTAGGTAGCAATACTTTGTTTCATTTACTGTCAAATAGTATTCCATTGTAAGGACATACCCGTAAAGAAGTGTTAAAATATGTCTGTGAGTTCAAGTTACTTGAAAAGTATCACCTTGAGGTATTAGAAATATTAATAATACAAATAGAACCTATTTTAAAGGAGTAATTGTAACTAAGTAGATAAAATACAATGTTTTATAATTTGATGAGTTTTCCTTCATTTAGCTATGTTACTTATATTTCTTTTTGATGTTAGATGTTTTTGTGGCTTTTCTACCATTCATCCTGATAGAAATAGAAAATTAAGCCCAGAACAGAATCTTTTGTTCAGGGCCCCATCCAGACCAATTGCAGTTTTAACCTTTCTCAAAAGAGTGAATTCTAAACCAGTCAATCTGAGTTTCTTAATTAGCACCAGTGAGATGATTTTCATGATAAGACTTCCTGCCTCCCCCTGAGGGGATGGCTTATCTGAAATAATCTTTTCTTTTGTTAATAATCTTGTACCACTCTCTTTCCATCATAAATACCCTCCATTTTTCGGGAGCCTTTGCAGTATCTAGATGGGATACTGTCTGGTTCATGAGTCATTTAATAAAGCCAATTAGATCTCAAAAGTGGTGAAATTTGTTTTTTAACAATAGCAAGCATTTGTTGGACATTCACCAAATCCCAGACACTGAGGGAGACCTAAGGATGAAAGGAGCATTTACAAGCAACCAGGATTTATAAGACAAGGAGAATTGACTATAAAACAGGAGAGACAGTGTAAGCCATGAAGATAAAAGGACTGTGCAGATGGAGCTCTGTATAGTTAATATAATTTGCATTTAAATTTACATATGTAAATTAATTTATATAATTATTTTAAATTCATAAAATACATTTAAAAATCATGATTATTCGAAAGAGTTAAGTCATAGAAGAAGGATCACCAGGAAGCACGTATGATTTTCCTTTACCTCCACCAGCTGGACTCGCCCATGATACAGCCGGTCTGGCCGGGGACTAATCGGATCCTTGTAGATGATGGATTTATGCTGCCCCTGTTGAAAGAAAAAGGTGGATGTTTTAGTGCTTTGGTGGGGATGTTTTGAAGTTTATAGTTGATCTAAGAGCAAATTTCTATGAATTCCTATTACACAAAATGCCTGACTCTGGAAAATAGTTGCAAAGTGAACAGACAAAAGGATTAGTAACATGGAAACAGAATCACAAAACCTTATGCAGTGCTTCTTCACAAATAGGAAGTGGAAAATTTCCTTGGCTGTAAGTGGCAAAAAAGATGAAAACGATTTTTTAACCATGTGTTGCAGCAAATGCATGAGATGTTGTTTCCTCTACTGCCTAAAGGGCCAGACTGGCAGCAAGAAAGTGCTATGGTGGGTGGGTGAATGAGGAGGGTTGGCAGCATCCAGCTGTGTAGCCAGGCAGCAACAGAGCTGGCACTGCAGGAGCTTCGCTCTGCTCAGCCTCCATCCCCTCTCCCCATCACAGGGGCTCCTGACGGATTCTGGATGCAGCATGATGGGGAGGTCAGCACCCATCACCAGCAACCCCATCCCAAACACACACAAGAGCCCCAGCTTGTCTGCTGCATACCAAGCCTGAAAAGAGTTTATTCATTAGAACCAGTGTTTCAGAGAGATTACTGTCTGTAATGACACATCATTTAAAACCTAATTTAGGAAACATGCTCCCAAGACTCTTAATTACAGTGGTTTGGAGCAAGGCAACAGGTCAGTGTGTCATGAGCCTTAATTATTTTCCATGTTTGAAGGTAAAATTAAGAGAATTTCTGGTCATCACTTCTCCATGAATTCCAACAGTTTGCATAATAAACATTGGCAGTAAAAATAGAGGCATATTCAAGGCCTGAACTTGAGATGCTCTGAAAAATAAGAAACCAAAATACAGCACTGCCATGAAAGTATTTTTATTGTGGAGGTATTTTTCCTTAGACTGCAACTAAAATCTGTGGTGCTTCATTTTCAAAATGTTTTGCAAAGATCCCTCTGAGTTTTTAAAACAACGGTTAATGAACGTAGCCAGTAAAAACAAAATGCCACACAGCAGTGTTTGGACATAAAGACCAATGGGAACGTGAGACCTGGGGCTGTGACAAGATGTGCAAGACTTGCTAGTGTGGGTTTACAGGGAATAGGACAAGAGACCCTTCTAGAAGCTGTAACTGCCTTGATCAGTCACAGCATTAACCCAGAAATAGAGCCAAGTACAGGCTATTGCATCTCAAGTCAAAGCAGAATGTGTCATCACCTCTAGTCTCAAAGAATTTTCTGGATGAAAGTTTTGAATTGTGTGCCTGACACATAGTATGTGGATGTTCCCTGAGCCTCTTTAAAAAAATCTATGTTGCTGCCCATTGTCTACACCAGGCCAAATTCCTTATTAAACCATTGAACACCTTCTTTTCTACCCTTCCAGGATAGTTGGGCACACATTGACTGCCAAGTTGGACTGGTCTCTCTTGAGCATTGCCCCTGCCTCTGTTCACCTTGTCCACAGTCCCTCAAAAGGCATTTCTCCTTCTCATGCCCATGTTTAAATGTCCAGCTCAAAAAAACCATTTCAACCAAACCTTCTGAGGGGCTCTCCACTAAGTGAGGCCTCCCTTGGACCTCATCATGTACCGTGCCTTGTTTGAACTTCACATTCAATGCTTGCTTTTCAGTGTATTATAGCTATTTGTCTATTTCTCTTGTCTTCCTTCTTAGGTTACATTTTTTTTTTTTTTGAGGACAGCTATGTGACCTTACAGACAAGAAGGGCTTGAAAACATTTTTGAGACTAAACTGAAAGACAGAAACAAAAAAGTTTACCATGAAGCAACAACTTAGGAGCAGCAAGAAGAGATACAGATAAATACTTTGGGTGGGGAGAAGATAAACTACTGGGGCTGAAATGGTGGTGGGCAGAGGATTCAGAGGAGGTACTGCATGTTCTAGACATCCCTTTTACTTTCTACAACCTATTGGAAATAACTTATATCAAATCTGTTGTAGGTCTCTTATCAAAATGTCTTAAAATTGCATCAGCACCAACTGCAAAGGCTGCATCCTGCCTCTTGGCTGGTGCTCGGGTACCTACAGTGAGTTGCACGTCTGGCTCCTTTTCCAGAAGAACCATATCACCAGGTAGGCCAAAGGACTTGGTTTGGTAGGTGAGATAGCCTCCATATGAAGAAACCTGAAAGTGAATTAGTAGGATCAATAACACAGGCCAAGAGACTACGGCAACATGAATTCATGCAAAAGGTATGTACGATTTGGAAAGACACGATCACCTTGTTCACAGTGGTCATCCTTAGAGTGGAAGTGAAGATGGTATCTTAACTTTCTACTTCTTTTTAGTATTTAATATGTTTAACACAAACATGATTTTTACAAAACAGACACTTCTGCTTAAAAATAAAAACAGTGATCACACAGGAGCAAATAACTTTCTTTCATTCTAGATGACCACCAAACTAAAATGTTCATTTAATCCATGGCCTTTTTGAGAAATCTAGTGATGACTCCTCATTTAACACAGAGGATTGGTTCATATCTGATAAAATGAACATCTAGACACAGATTTTTTTTTTAAAAAAAGGAAAGAAACCAAAACATCTCCTGAGAGTTGCTGCTAATGTTTCCCAGGCTATGACACCTTCTCCTGGTGCCTGGCTGTGTCTGACAGCTCCATCAGGTGTGTGGACTTTCTCTTACTGATGCACCGGGTGCATGCATGGTGTTGGAAGGCGGTGAAGGAGGATGGGCATGGCTTTCTGACAGTAACCTTCATTTCTAATACCTACCCACCCTCTTTAAAGCAAAAAATAAAATCAGAAGGAAGGAATGAAAGAGGCATGGAATAAGAACAACTTCATCTCAGAGGAGGTAGGCAGAACTCTCCCTGCTGGAGAATGCACATAACTTCATGAAGGAGAGAAGGAGCAGCACTTCAGGGTCCCCAATCCACTAAAGTTGTCCCCAGTATCTACAAGCTGGCAAAGCTTCCCAGAGTTATTATCTTAGAGTCTGGAAGTATTCCAAGATAGCATCTTAAATCATCTTATTGAAATAAAGTATTGTCTTTTTGCTGGTCTGATGTGGTTTAATCAAGAGTTCCAGGTATTCTTTGGGGTTCCTGCTTTTAAGAGGTAGAGCTTAACTCTCCCTCCCTTGAGTCTGGGCTGGAAATAGTGACTGGTTACTTTTTTTTTTTTTTTAAGATTTATTTATTTATGCATACAAGAACTGGAGTACAGGCCAGAGGTGCAGGGGGTGAGAGGATTCATCAGAGACAGAGTGGGGAGCAGAACAGGCAGACTGACTGAAATACACTGCTGAGGGGAGCAGTGGGCGAGACAGGACAAGCCTGCTGCGCCATGTGGGTAGCTCCCTGGCCAGCCAGGGATCGAACTTGTGCTGTAGAGGCTATGGTGCTGCACTTAACCCCTTGCGCCACCAAGGAGGCCCATAACTGGCTTCTAAAGAATAAAATATGGCAGAGATGATGGTATGTCATTTCTGAAATTAGATTATGAAAAGATGCAGCTTCTGTCTGGTATCTATCTAGCTGCTAGCTATCATAAACATATTGTAAATTTTTCTGTGGACCTACCCCTGGTCTAGTAGGTAAGAGAGCAAAACCATCTTCACAGGCAACAGGCTATATACAGGAAGCTGCAGCCTGCAGGTAAAGTAAATCTTTTCAGGGCCTCCCTGGTGGTGCAGGTGGTTGAGCACAGCGCTGTGAAGCTGTCTGCAGCCTCTGCAGTGCTGGTTTGATCCCCACCAGTCTTGCCTGCTGCTCCCCTCCGCAGTGTATTTCATCAGTCTGCCTGTTCTGTTCCCAGCTCTGTCTCTGGTGAATCCTCTCACCCTCCCACGCATCTGGCCTGGACCCCAGCTCTTATATAACTAAAATAAATCTTTAAAAAAAGTAAAGCCAATCTTTTCAGATGAAAAAGATTTAGTGATGGGTGTGTTGCCATTGCCTTTCTCTAGCATCAGCATATTTTTAGGTCAGGACAACTTAGAATTAGGGGCCCTTCCTATCAAGAACAATTACACTTTTAATAACAATGACTCACTATTCCTACCGATATCAACTATATTCAAATTCATGTTTATTGGAACACAGATTTACTCTCTGTGTAAATCAGAGTAAATCTGCCATATGCTTACCAGGTTCAAATCGTCATTTTGATTATCTAATAATAATTATTACTATCTAATAAACTCTTCATGTAACTACTCTTGAGATTTTATTTTCAGTAAACACTATCTCCATCTCTGTCTTTTTCTATATCAGCTGATTTGGGGGAAGTCAGCTGCCACCTCATGAGGAGAGCTCAGCCAAAGGAGCGCTTCATATGGTGAGGCCAGAAAGGAACAGAGACCTGTTGACAACCCCATGGGTGAGCTTGCAAGAGGGTTCTCCAGTCCCAGATGACCACAGTGTTGTCTAACATGGTGACAGCAGCCTCACGAGAAACTCTGGGTCAACTACTCCTGGATTCTTGATTCACATAAACTATATAAGATAATAATTGTTTGTTGCTTTAAGCTGTTACCACATGGAGGTGAAGAGGAGTATTAAGTGAGAGAGAAGTGAGATTATATTGTTAGGGGCCAGAGAGGTGGACTAGAAGGTACATGCATAGCTTAGGAACCAGCATGTACACATATTGTTTGACTTGTGGCCTGTTTGCTCTGAGTTAACTTTGCAGTCTATGAGGTGCCTAGAAGAGTGATGGACACCATTTCTGTCAGACTAAGCCATGCCAGAAGGAGTGAAGTGTTGTAAATCCAGATGCCAGTGAAGGGGGAACTGCCAGGTAGATGGGGCACCATAAAACTCCCAGAAGGTGTTAAAGACCTGCAGTGAAGGCTGTTCACTGATAATTTACTGTCTTTGTTTTAACTCACTATAAAATAACCTTTCAGAGATGAAGTGCTAGAAGGGTTTTCTTTGGAGCATGATGCTCGAAGTTCTCAGATTAGCTTGCTGATCTAATTAAAGTGCATATTAAAGATTTAATCTCTGTGCTTTGTCTTTTGGTTTTGATAATTGCAGTAGGCAGAAAGAATCAAGTATTTTCTGGCAACAATATGAGAGAAGCAGCATTCCCCACACTCAACAGTCAAAACCCATAGTCCTTCAGGCAGAAGACAGAATTAAAAGACCTGAGGCCAACAAGGCCCTAATACTGATACATTCAAAAGGTAAGAAAGTATCATTACTTGAGCTGGGACTTCTGAAATCTTCCTGTTATTGTGATTTATAAGAAATATATATATATATATATATATATATATATATTTGATTACTCAGATGAGCAAGGTTTATTTCTCCTATATTTGATCTTCATCGATCTCACAGCTCCCAGAACTTGGAATTTCCTGAGCCTTTAGGCAGGGAGAGCATCTTTTGTCATGATACTTGGTGTTTTGTCCTCTGTTCCTGAGAAAGTTTCAGAGCCATAAAAGTTAAGTGGGTGCCTTATTATTTATAATGCCTTTATATTTGGAAAACACATAGAAGTGGGAGCCAGTTGCTAGGAAACCAATTTCTTGGGAGAGAGACACACTAGAGATGAAGTTCAGTACCAATGGCCAGTGTCCTGATAAATCATGTATAAGTAATGAAAAAGCCCAAAAAGGAGTGGCTTCAGAGAGCTTCCTATTTGAAGAACAGAGCACTGCCACATGCCACCCCAAGCTCCAGGAATACAGATGCTACTTTTTTCCAGGATGTCACCCTAGATTTCTGTATCTGGCTATTGATTCATATCCTTTATTATTCTTTGTAATAAATTGGCAATCTAGTGAGTAAATGGGTTTCCTGAGACCTACAAATTAATTGAAACTGAGGAGGGTACTGATTGATAGATTCATCAGAAGCACAGGCACTGATCTGGGCTTTCTATGGGTACCTGAAGTCTGAGGAGGGGGTTCTGGGAATCTCCAAGCTAGCCAGTTGGTCAGAAGCACAGGCAGTTACCTGGCTGACATCTGAAGTGGAAGGTGGACAGCCTGCTGGTGTCTGAGAACTGCTAGTAGGTGTGGGGAAGCCTCACACACCCCCTGGAATTAGATCCAGGAACCAAAACCACACCACACCTTCTCAAGAGCTCTACCCTATGCACATGTCACCTGAACATGTCTCTCCAGGAGATCCACACTTGGCCAGTTGGCCAAGTACAGTTGGCCACATTCTGGCATAATTGATGCAGCCAAAGAATTTAGGTTGCAAAGGAGAGCATCTAGTTTATCAGCTCACTAAGGAGTGTCTAACTGAACACATGTGATTCTGCTAAAGACAGCCAAACTTCCTCTAGACACTGTGCTTCTCTTAATAAGCCTGTGACTCACTTCTCAGCTTTTGTTTTCCTGACAAGGAGGCTTTCTTCTGCTTTAAAGCAAAGAATTCTCAAAACTGGCATTTAAAAGCATACATGTCCCATTTGCAATAGATATTATTTAACTGGTTATTTCCCTGGAGAAATTCTTAGTCATTAAGTAAAATCATGAAAAACACCGTGAACTAATGGGGTGGGGACGTGAGGCTCTAGTCAGCCCCTTCCAGGGAGGCCTTGTCTCTTCCCAATTTGTAGTTAACCTAATCTCAATTTATGTCAATTGAGCTTCCTGATACTTATGCCCAGTCAACAACACTCATGCAGAGATGGAGGAGGCCCACGAAGGCTCAGGACAGGACATCCTTACCTTATCCCCCAGGTAGGAGGGAGGTGCCACCCAGGACACGCTGTGAACTGTTGAAGGCAGTTCTTGGAGGTCTGCAACCATGCTGTTGCTGTCTGGGTTGAATGACACAGGGATTTGCACTCCATCTGCCGTCTCCAGGTGCCAGCCCATCATATCCACAAACTAGAACACAAAAGCAAGGGAGGAAATATGCACAGGGCATCTTGGGTGATTGCTGAGTTACGCAGAATAGAAAGCTCCTGACTTTGAAGGCTTCCTGTATGTGTCGCCCTTTGAGTTTTCCCTTGGAGTCCCAAGACAGAGCCCTCTGTCCTTCAACTAGAAGTTCTTGGAGAGCAGTGACTCTTTGTATTGCTGCAATATCCTGGTTCCTGACTCTGAGTAGGTATCCAATAAATGTCTAAATAATTTTAATGGTGAGCTCCTTATAGAGAAAATATGACATAGAAGACAGGGTCTTGCTATCATTACTTTTCTCTAAATGGAGCATCATAATTACATATTTCCCCAAATCGCAAAGGAAGCCAGGAATTAAGTTATGAAGCGGAAGAAAAATAAGGAATTGACATGGCATGCCTCCGGGCTCCTCTGGAGGTAAGGAAAGGAAACTTCAGAGTGGATTTACAAACTAATTTTTCTCCCAATTATAAGCCTGTAATCCTTTTAGGGGACAGGCAGTAAAACATATAAAATAAAATTTCTCATTGGGCATAACACATTACTCACCAAGAGAAAGCAAGAGGCAGGCTACTAGTTCATGGAATAATGATGGAAACAAAAGCTTTATGGAATTAATTTTAAAAGTGACCAAAGAAAAGAACAAAATAAGCGAGAAAGACAGTAAAAGAGAAAGAAGAACAAAAGAGAAGGAAGCACAGCAAACGCCATCTATTTACTGAGTGTTCACTGAGCATCTGCTAAGCCTCAGCTCCTGCTCCTGGCACTGAGAATGCATCACAGACCTTCTATGCTGGTGCTGTTACCAGGTTTTGGGCTTCCTCTGTTCTGGACTATGATCATAAAAGAATTCAAAGCCACATGTAGGCAAAGCAGAGCAAAGTTTATTTAGCAACAGTACACCCAGGAAGAGGTCTGAGTGGGCAGAGTTCATGGAAGAACAACTTTGAGGAATGTGGGGGATTCCTGGATTAAATGGGGCATAAGGGGATGGCTCATTCCATCCCTTTCTGGGGTTTTAACAGTGTAATCTAAAAAGGGGAGGTTCCATGTTTCCTGCCCCAACTAATGAAGGGTGGAGCTGAGCAGCTAAAGGAACTGAAAAGAACTTGAGAGAGAAAACTTGGAAAGGGCACATGGGACAGAGACATGAGAAAGAAGCCCCGCTTGCTTCTTGGCCTCGGTCTTACGCCAGAGACTTCAAGGACATGGAAAGAGACACTTGGGAGAGACCGTGTGTGAGAGACCTGTAGGGAGGCTGACAATGGCAGCCTTTATCCTGACTTGTATGTGCCAGTCCTGTTTGTCTGGGCATTTATCCACAAGGGGATGGATAACATAGGGTGTTTTATCAGGACTATCCTTTTTTCTCTCTATTACACACTAATTCTATTAACATTCTTTTCTACTGAAGGTCTTAGGCACTAAGAGTATAACTTATCTTTATGTAAGCAGATGGCAGAATCCATTTAGAGCATGCAAAGTTTGGGCATCTTGGGGTGCCCCTCAGTCTGTCTGCTAACAGGGTCTACTAGCAGCTGCTCCCAGGGTATTGATTTATTAGTTCGAGCAGGAGTTTCTAAGTCACCCTCTTCTACTGTGCTCCCTCTCAGGATGTAGTTTTATCAGCCCCGGGAGCAGGTTGGGGAGGGGGGGTCTGACTCTCCCCTCTGGGTCTTCTTGCTTTCCTCAAGCTTCACTGGCCTGGCTGTAGGTTGGGGTTGGGGGCTGCCTTCTCCTCTCTGGGCACTTCTTGGCTCTGCCTATACTTGATCAAATCTGGCAAGTGTTTCCTGGGGTCTCAGATAGAGTTGGCTATTTAATTTTCTTTAGGCATCGCCCTCCCTGGTCTAACAGGGATAGGGGAAGACAAGCTACACACTAGAACTGAATGTACAATGTCAGGGAGTGAGAAGAGTTTTGGGGTACACAGAGCAGGGGAGGCATATCGCCAGTGAGCAGGGAGCTGTTTTGGAGGGAGTGGCAAAGGAGATACCCTCTGGCCTTGAGATACAGAGCAGACCCAACAACCCCTGGAGTCAGTGTGAGGACTGCTGTAGAGAGAAAAATGGTATTAACATTTCAACAAAATAATCTATAGAACATTCCACAAGCCTTCATATTTCCTGCCAATTCATTTCTTCTTTTAGAAGTACTAAATAAAAATAAAAATATGAATTCCTCACATACCTTAGTTCTTCTTTTATGTGTACTGTGACAACGATTATTTACTCCAAAACAAAAGCAGCTGGTACAGCCTTTGGGATTTGCTGGGTTCAAATAGAATGATCCTTCTCGACATACATTGCATTCTGCTCCTTCCACATTTTCCTATAGAAGTAAAATACACAGCAAGAATCATGTCTGCTAAAGATTTCCCGATGGCAATTATCTCTTTGCACAAATTTAATACTGACCCACACAAGAAATTCAATACATAATTGCTAAGCTTTTACACCACATATAAATGGAGGAGAGAATTTCCTGGATTTTATAAGATACTCCTTAGCACCTTGAAAGTAGAGAAATCCCCCAAAGCAGTCACAGTTTGAGGGGATGAATCCTACCACTTACTATTACCTCAGATGATCACTGGGACCTGGGAGTTCTCAAACCACCAGGCAGAACCCCTTGGAGAAGAGATTACTAACCTGCAGCTCATTGGGCCAGAAATAGGCTTCAGGGAAACCCATGGGCCTCTTGAGATTGTAGACAAAGTTTGTGTCTATCTTTCTGGAAGGGGTCTGTACCTGTCATCAAATTCTCAAGGTCTGTGGCCTCTCAGAGGACAAAATGAAGAAGAGAAGTCTCCCTTCTATTTCTGTCCAATGAGGTAATGACTGTGAAACACTACCTCATTATGGCAATTATGGGTCTGTCCTGTTTCCCATATATTTGGATACGTTGACTCAACGTGAAGAACATCACTGAGGGTGGCTGACGTGCCTGACGTTGCACTGTCTGTCTCACCTTGCAGAGGCAAGCTCCAGTCCCTGGGTCACAGACTCCTGGCTTGGTGCCGTCTCTGTTGCAGCGGCAGGCAATACACTCAGGGAAGCGGTAAAACCCAGGAGCACACCGGTCACACCGCCGCCCTGTGATTCTGGGCTTGCATCTGCAGCCCAAACAAAGGAAGCAAAAGTTCTCATTGTCTTTCTGCACACAATTGTAAAGTCTGCATATGCGGCAGCTGTACAAAGGGAGTTCAGCGGACACAGTGCAGGTCCATGGGGGCTCACAGACCAGGGCAGAATAGAGAGAAGCAGGTCAAGACCACCCTGGACAGTGCATGCCCCTAGCCAGACTCCACGCTAGGCTCTGGGGGCACAAAGAGACACAGTCCTGGGTCTAAAGAGCTTCCACAGATAAGTGGTGAGAGGGAGATGTGAACAAGATGCATTAGAGGTCTAACTGGGAACAGAGGGTCAGAGGAACAGCAAATGACTCCATTTCCCTAGTAGAGGGAGAGGAAGGGATGCCTGAGCTGAGCCAAAAAGTTGAGGGTCGGGCCTCCCCAGTGACACAGCAGTTGAGCGCTGGGTTGCAAAGCTGCCCGCAGCCTCTGCAGCGCCGGTTTGATCCCCGGCCACCGGGCGAGGGTCCCACATGGCGCGCAGACCTCTCCTGCCACCCGCTGCTCCCCTCAGCAGTGTACTTCGTCAGTCTGCCTGCTCTGCTCTCCCCTCTGGCTCTGGTGAACTCTCTCACCCTCCCACGCTTCTGACTGTACCCAGTGCTTGTATAAATAAATAAATAAATAAATAAATAAATAAATAAATAAATCTTTCAAAAAAAAAAAAAGTTGAGGGTCACGGGTAGGAGCACAGGTAGGTGTTCAGACAGAAGGAACAGTTGAGGGGGAGGGCACCCGTGTGCAGGGAACACCAGCGTGGTGCTACAGCAGCAGGAGTGTGAGCAGGGAGTGCTGAGGCAGGAGTCTGAGCCAAGAGGTAGGTGGGAGCCAATTGATGGGGACAGAAGTGCTAGATGCTGTGACAGTGTCTGCAGGAGTAGAGACTCTGGCCGAGCCCTGGACACACTGGTGATGTGCTGATCACATAACAATGTTACATGCTCTAACTCTACTTTTCCAAGGCTTCGTTTTCTCATCTGTGGGATAGGGAGAACGGTAACTGCTGCCTAACAGCATTGCCATGGAGATGGCCCAGGCACCCCAGGCACGTGGCAAGCTCTCAAAGAAGAGGTTGTCATCTTGAAAAACTTTTCAAGGGGACAGAGAGAGACTGGATGTGAGCGGAGAACTGAGTGGAAGGAGCAAGTCAATTCATAGTAGGCTGTTGAGCCAGGAGATGAGACTTGGGGATGGAGAGGAGGGGTGGCTCCACAGCTATGTTGGGGTGAGGCTGCTAGGACTTGCAATATTCTGGATGAGGGGTAGGAAAGCAGAAGGCAAGAAGACTCAGTTTCCTTCTCAGGCGATGGTGAGGATGGGAGGTGTGAATGAAGGAGGAGGAGAGCAGGGAGGGAACGGGGGGGTGTGGAGTCTGGCAGGGACAGCATATGAGAAAACTCTGGGGGGGACATATCAGCAGGTGCATGCACTGGAAACACAAGTGTAAACGAGAAAATACAGAAAAGGCTGACAAGTGAGAAGAACAGCAGGGGATGAAGAAGACTGAGGCATCCAACACCCAAGGGGCTAGAGGGAAGAGGTCATGTCTGAAGTCTGGTGGGACCCACCCACTGACCCTTCTTTGTGGTTCTCAAAAAAGCATTAGGAAGTGTGCTTGTTATTGGCTTCTAGGGAGTTCAGTCTGATAAGAAATACTTCCTTAACTTGCTACCAGTTTTAAATTATCACCTATCTCCTAACACCTTTTAAAATATCTTACCCCAGTGACCTAGAAAAGATAAATATAACTTTATGTCCCAGTAAGTTTGCCTTTGGCAAAAACCTGCTTAAAACCAGAGCAAGCATTTTGTGCTGGATTAGGAAGACCAATGCATGGCCTGGTGGCCTAGGTTTGAACCCCTACTGTACTGTGTACTAGGTGAGGAACCTTGAGCAAATTAATGTCTTTATAGCTGTAGTCATGTAGGTGGGAAATGAGATGTTTTGTTTGGAGTGATTACTTGGGTGGTGTAGGCAAGGGGCGAGAGACCCCTCTGGGGAGCTAGATAAGCCATGGGCCATCTTCTCAGAGAAGTACTTACCACCCACTTACATTACATTCTCTCTTTCTCTCTCTCTCTCACACACACACACAACCATGCTACCACTACCACCATACACAACCCATCACACAGGCTCACTCTTAACACACACAACATTGCATTCACTATCAGAGGGCTCTTGGGCCCAGGTTAAAATCACCTGCTTTCTTCTTGTAAATCTCAAATCTCAATGCAATCAGACAGTCTAGCAAAAAACAACTGCTGGAAGATGATTCCCTGTTTCTGAAGGAAGCAGAAAGTGTGGAGCATAGAACTCTGGCAGGCTAGAGGTGGGAAAGCAGAGAGCATAGGCAACACAGACCCAAATAAAACTGTCAGAAAGGGGAAGCTCAGCTCAGAAGCAGCACTTGGACATGACCAGACTTAGGTGGCCTCTGGTCCTGTCACCTGGCAGTGAGGAAAGGACCATGCTGGACTTGGACCATGCTGCTGTTGTGACAAAGCCAATCAGGCAGCTTGTCATCTGAGGTCTATCACATTTCTTTCTGCAGAACTTCAGGGCTTCTGGTCGAAGGGTGCATTAATTGAACGTTGTTGCCAAATGAGCAACTTACACACTGCATTGGTAGACAGTTGAAAGTGACCTTTCTGAGCACATTTTCTGGACCAGGGCCTTGGAGGTGGGGACAGCAAACAGCCTGTGTTTTATGTTTTTCACTTCATTGGAAAATAAAGGAATGAAGTGTATTTTGCAGGGAGGGCAGTGTTAGACGTTCTTGTTGAGACAAGAAAAGATACAGGCAAGATCATTACCTGTTTGCCTGTTATTTCAGAATGATATGACATGGTGTGGTAGCAAGAAGAGGAGGGCTGACCACATCAGTAATTTAAGACAAAGGTTGGGAGCCTCACTCAGCACATACGGCGCAACCAAGAACATAGAACTGGATGAGAAAAAGCAAAAAAGTGGAGCTGTAATAAAAACTGTGGCCCTCAAACTGAGCTCTCAGGACCCAAGAGGACTGACAGGAAAGGGTTAACCAAAGCATGGAGAATATAATGTCTGGTTTGCTGAGTGATGTAATGCTTAGAGCATTAGCTATATGGATCCTGTGCAAAAATCTAGCAACCAAAGGAGTTTTTGGTGGTGCCATGACAACAGGGATAAAAAGGAAACTTCCCTTTCAAAAGTCTAAGTAGCTTCTAAAAATCACCTAAGGTTAGGCTGACCTTGGCACATTTATCCAGGGAGATGCTCTGTTACCCAAGGAGCTACGCTGACTGCAAAGGCAAGAAGGTTCCTGTAGATGATGCCTGAGGTGACGAATAGCAGCACCAGGGACACAGGTCAAGCGAGGTCATCTCTAAGGCAACGGGCTTGTGGCCAAGTGTTATGTAACAACATCTGCACGTGTGTGAGTGCTCACCATATTTCACAGAGAGCCAGAAAACCAGAGGTTAGGGTGAACTCTACCCTGCTTGTTAAATACTGTGGGTCTTTTCATTCATATGCATATTAAAGTCCCATTTTAATCTAGAATGCAAAGTCCACCTCATCCATTTATTCATTCAATAATTACTGACTGCTCAATATATGCATCCCTCTATTAGGGGACACAGGAGGTGGGGGACAAAATGGAATGAGCCAGCGATGAACTTGGCACATTTTCAGTAAGGACATAGGAGAGAGATGCAGAAAGTTAGGTGATCATGTGAGACATAGGGTGGCCGAGCATTCCACTTGATGTAGGCAGTGGAAGAATGAGGATATCTCTGTGCATTTGTAGAATTTGTATCTCTAAGGATATGTACAGTTTGGGGGTAAAAGGAAATGGAAGAGGAGAACTGATAACTGGAAAATATGCAAAAAGTGTTATGAGAAAGTGAAAAAGACTAGAAGTGGAATTGCTGGGTCATATGGCAGATCCATTTTTATACAAAAACACTAATTCAAAATGAAACCTGAGCTCCTGTGTTTACTGCAGTACAATTTGCAATAGCCAAGTTATGGAAACAAACTTAGTGCCCAAAATCAAATGAGTGGGTCAGAAATATATGGTACATATACATAATGGACTACTCAGCATTCACAAAAAGATAAGTTTATGTCATTTGTAGCAACATGGATGGAGCTGGAAGAGAGTATGCTAAGTGAAATAAGTCCGAAGGAGAAAGAGTGGTGGGACATGGCTACACTGAGGGGAGGGAACCTATACTGTCAAAACACTAACAAGGATGTAAAACAATGGTATTCAATATCTAAAAAAAGAGAAAGAGAAAGAAAAGAAAGAAAGAAAGAAAAGAAAGAAAGAAAGAAAGAAAGAAAGAAAGAAAGAAAGAAAGAAAGAAAGAAAGAAAGAAAGAAAGAAAGAGAACAAACCAAGCAGAGAAGAGAACTGAAAAATGCTTCAGTTAGAGCAGGTACCCTCCTCCTTCATTACCATGGAAAGTTGATCTTTATCCTGTCAGACAATGGGAAGCTAAGAAAGGTTCTTGCATAGAGTGATGTGATGGAAGTAGTGCTTAGCAGAACCATCTGCCCCACACCTGTCTGCACTCCACATGCGCTCACCAAGCTGCATGTCATTATTGGTTAGTAGAGGTTTCCCCACCAGACCAGACTGTGACCTCTTGTTACAGGCATTTGTGTGCCTTCTGCGCAGGCTACAGTCCCCAAACTGGAGTGGTGTAAGATACTGCAGCTTAGGTGATAAAACATATTGATATATGCCAAAGTAGAATTTAAGGCAAAAAATATCATAAGAAACAGAGTAAAATGTCTCATGCTGGTTAAAAATAGAACACATAACATGCAAGATAAAATCATAAGCACATATGCACTTATCAATATTGCTCCAAGTTTTTTAGGCTAATAGTTCTGTGTATTAGTGAAATGGGGAAACTGAGTTTGAAAACCCAGTGTATTTAGCATATTCCTCTTGAACTAAGGGGTCGAAATGAATGAATGAATGAATGTGT